ATGAGCATCAGCTGCCCAAGCCTTCCTCCAAAGCAGGCCGCCCGGCCAGCATCATGAGCATCAGCTGCCCAAGCCTGCGTCCAGAGCAGGCCGCCCGGCCAGCATCATGCCCAAGGCTTCGTTCAAAGCAGGCCGCCCAGCAAGCAACATGTGCATCAGCCACCCAAGCCTTCCTTCAAAGCAGGCCGCACAGCCAGCATCATGAGAATCAGGTACCCAAGCCTTCCTCCAGAGCAGGCCGCCCAGCCAGCATCATGAGCATCAGCGGCCCAACCAAGCCTGCGTCCAAAGCAGGCTGCCCGGCCAGCATCATGGGCATGAGCTGCCCAAGCCTTCGTCCAGAGAAGGCCGCGCAGCCAGCATCATGAGCATCAGCTGCTGAAGCCTTCGTCCAGAGCAGGCCCACCAAGACCCACGTGACTTCTACAAGCTTTCCTGATTTATTGCGTGCATCCTTGCTGGAAGCACGAACTGGCAGAAAGTATGTTCCGTCAATGATGTCTGGACCACACTAGCCACGCGCAAGTTGGCAGCGCGTAGCTGCGTAGTGTACACTGAAAGTTTAGGCTTCAACTTCTAACCTGCACCTGCGCAAGCAGCCGCAGCTACCACCTGCAAGCCCAAAGCCCGAAACATTATCTGGTCCTGCCCAGATGTCCTGTCCACCCTTATCCACTTCAGGAAGGATCTACGAAGTAACAACGCAAAAGCTGCCGAGCCCGATAATCCTGACTCCCTCAAACCCCCAAGCATTAGACCGGCCATGCTCGAAAACCCATCCCCATTATACCCTCCCCTGCATAGGAGGTTGGAATGTGGCCCGTTTGCCCAACTATCGGGGCCTGGGGCTGGCCAGAGCGTCGAACCTCCAGATCTCAGGGCTGTAGAGTTTTGAGGACTTAAGGTGAGGTTGTTCAGAGGCTTGGTGGGTCCATCCTCCAAACCCGTCTCAGGCGTGTCACTAATCGATTTGAAGTCGCACGGAAGGAGGAGTACCCTGCACAGTGGCATGACCTCCGCGGACATACCCCGCTGGAGAATTTTCCGAAATTTGCCCAATCTTTCGCACAAGTGATGCACTATTCAAATCTTCAGGCCGTCTTCTTTGGAGGCCCAGATTCCGCAACTGGGGTTTCGCTACGGGGTTGGAGGCCTCTGGCTACATGGATGCGTCCAGAAGACGCAGCGGCTGAACAACAAGGATACCTCAGAGCTTGACGTCCTTCTCTCCAAGACTTGTTCTGCTAGGTCATCTCAAAGGAACGTCCGGCCAGGGATAGGGAAGGTACATTCTGGAAAAGAATGCCAAATCATATTCCTATCAATATAGATATATATATATATATACATATCTAGATAATTCTGGGGTGGGGTCGGGTGCATATTTGCCATTAACGGTGCAGAAGATCCATTGCAACAAAGCTGAATTCCAGCTGTGCCTGTCTTACCCTCTTTAGCTTTGCACCGGACAGCCTTCCTTGGTACGATTAGAGTCTCTGCATACATACTGACATGCACAATCCAAAACACGTGTACTGCAAACATGCACATGCCCTTCTGAAGTGGCAGCGTTGCCTGCAAACCCCCATCCAGACCTCTTCCATCAAAAGCCTTCCCTACAGTTCTGTGCTCCCAGCCCGTAGCAGCAGTGGATTCAGCTGCGCCTGAACCAGCAGGCAGGAAGGCGACGGAAGAGGCTAAGCAGAGGCGTGTAAACCCTCCCGTATCATCCCCTCCCCTGGCATCTTCAAGGCCTCCTATCAAAAGCCCCATGGAACAACGAATAACATCAACCTGCTGAATGTGCAGTCCACAGCAGTTCACAATGCCCGGAATCCTGAAGGCGTTGGCTTGAAGCTACTGGATCTCAGATCTTGTCAAAAGCCTTTAATGGCCTAATTCTGACAGGCTTCGGCGATGCGCTCTTGCACTGCATGGCCGTGCACGCTAGCGAATGCATGGTCAGGATGTACACGGCCCAAACGTGAGACACCAACAACAGCACCAGCAGCTACACTGCCACGGCCGCAAAAACTTGCCGCAAAAAGCACCCCATTCCCCACAAACAACAGCACGACCGGCAGCACAGGAACCACCATCTCCACACGACACCAGCAGCAGCAGCAGCAGCAGCAGCAGCAGCAGTCGCTGCCGCCGCGATTGAGGCAAAGATTTTGCAACTTGCCAAGGTGCTTTTTTCCACCAATTGTCTGGCATTCAAGGTTATGGGGTATGCTGACGTCGTCATGACAGCGAATACGCAGCACAAAAGATGATGGTCACAGTCTTCATGCCACTCTCTGTGTATACTACACACACATGCAGAACTTACACCGTCAGCTCTTGAACTAGCAGTCGCAACATATCCAGCAAGCCTTTGGTAGCTTCGAAAAGATGGGGGGGGTGGCAATCTAAGTGTTCCAACTTCAGGAAGCCCCAAACAACGGGGCCTGCTTGCACAACACCATTCCTCGGTTGTAGTGGTCCACACTCCGAGCCTGGGGAGATTGAGCTGTCAAGGGGTCTAGGGGTATATTGGGGTTATATTAGGGTTATATTGGGGTTATATTAGGGTTATATTAGGGTTATATTGGGGGAAATTTTTTCAAGGGGGGCTGTGTTCCTCGAAATTCGGAGACCCCTAAACTGTTCCTCCGCGAGCGTGAGGGCTTCACGGTTCAGGGCTTCTGTTGTACAATATCTAAGATGTTGGGCCTCTGGTCTCTGAGACTGGGAGGCCTCCAAGCCTCCAATATAACCCCAATATAACCCCAATACAACCCCAATATAACCCTAATATAACCCCAAAATAACCCTAATATAACCCCAACATAACCCTAATATAACCCCCATATAACCCCCATGTAACCCTAATATAACCCTAATATAACCCTAATATAACCCTAATATAACTCCCATATAACCCTAATATAACCCTAGTATAACCCCCATATAACCCTAATATAACCCTAATATAACCCCCATATAACCCTAATATAACCCTAATATAACCCGAATATAACCCCCATATAACCCTAATATAACCCTAATATAACCCCCATATAACCCTAATATAACCCTAATATAACCCCCATATAACCCTAATATAACCCCAATATAACCCTAATATAA